AGTAGCAGTAGTAGTAGTTGTAGTTGTAGTTGTTGTTGTGGTGTCTATTGATTGTTGTGTACCCCAAAACCCTGTTCAAATTGTTAAGGCCCCGATGTTATAGGTCTCTGGCGCCTACAAGTCCCAAAGCCTGCTCCGCCCATTTCCTGCGTCTTCGACCCGATGTGATGAAGAAGAAAAGAAGAAGCCACGGAGAGAACGGCAGTGCTTCGTCTTGGAAGCTTCATAGCCCACCTTAGTGGGCAACAGACGATGCCCCAAAGGCTTGCAAATGTCCCGAAGCCTATGCATCATGTTCCCAAGTCCTACACCTTGGCGCATTCGGATGGGTGATGCCGTCTCCGAGATCTTCCCCTCTGTTTTTCACCGTCTGCCGAGGCCATCTACTGCAAGTACTGCCAGATGTGGTTGAATGGCCCGACACAGCAGGGACACTCAAAGGGTGGATGGGAGTTGGGGCTAGTTTCACGCTGCTGCGTACCGCAACCGCAGTGGATTTCGGGCTCGGGCTTTTGATACCTGGCTCAGGGCCTGGAGTTTGAGTTGAATCGTATGGCATGAGGGCCGCCGGTTGCAAGTCTGTGTCGTTTTCAGCGTCCCATTCCCTGATTCTAACTTTCGCATGATGCATACATACATATATATATATATACAAACAATATACATATATAGCATATTATTATAAATATATCATATATATATATATATATTATACACATATATGCACGCACACACACACACACACACGCACGCGCGCACCTTCTCTCATTCTCAAGGCCCCCCATATTAACCATGCAGCTTGAACCCTGTATTGAGACTGTTGCATCTGCGAGCGCACGCCTTAGACTGCTAAAGCAACCTCAGCTTCAGCTCGGATTAAAAGCCTTGGGCACTCGATATCCTAAATCCTACACCGCGAACTCTGAAGCCCTAAAGGCCCAAAGCCCAAAGCCCCAAAACCCGACCTAAACCCCAGAACCCGAAACCCTTGATCGCCAAGGTGGGCAGATCACGAAATCGGCAAGAAGCACCAAAAGGCCGTGCGCAGAGCCCAGGCAGGAAGCTAAGTCAAGACCGCATTGACACGAGAGTGGTGTTGTGCAGCAGCTCCAGTTTCGTTCGTTGAGATGTTGTATGCAGCGTACCTATATGCATAGTGTTTGTGAGGATCCTGGAATGATTCATGTCTCGTGCTCAGTGAAATGGAATGCAGACCTCGCCCCGGGGAGGCACTAGAAAGCAAGAGCAATCCCTGTAGGAACCGGTACAGGGACCCCGACTTCCCTGCAAAAATCATAGTTTCGCAGCTCTTCAGCTCACTGCGAAGAGCTGAACCGGAATGATGCGATTTCGGGCTTGTGGTTAATTTAGGCTTAAGGCATAAGGGCGGTGGTTTCGTGGCAGGAGAGGATCCCATGACCCGGGTATAGTGGGACTAGGGCGACGAGGGCCTGGTGGGGCCACTTTCACCCCCAAGAAACTGGGTTTAGGGTTTAGGGTTTAGAAACTGCCCGCACGATTCCAGGGAACAGGCTCGGCCGAGCCAATGGACTTCGACCAGTCGCAAGGCTTTGTTGGGTGTCCCTATATGGATTTCTTGTTGTTGAGCGAAGGGTGCTCCAGTTTAGGTCTGGGGAGCTGTCCGACTCTCGGCTTCGGGCCGCTATTACCCTACACCTTCAATCAAAGCCCTACTGTGGTTTAGATCTTCACGCGACACTGGCCTTTGTGCGTCTTGGAGTTCTACTTAGCCCTAAACCCCGAAGCCGTGATTCCTTCCTTCGCTTTGAGGAGAGTTGGTTCGGGAGCTCCTGCCCCAAACCTAACCCCGAAACCCTGAAAGCCCCAACATTCCCAGACGCTAAACCCTTCACACTTAAACCCTAAGCCCTTACCCCCGAAACTTCTACACCAAGCACCAGAAAACCCCACGAGCCCTCAAACCACAGAACCGTTGAGCTCAATTGCACAAACCCGAACACAGGGGTCGGAATAGTTGGTGATGAGATGCCTTTGGTCCTTATAATAAATATCGCAAGTATAACAATGGTTTCCCAAAAGCCTATATTACTGTGTCTGCCCCAAAGTCCTTGTCTAGTTATAGTATAATGTGCCCGAAAAGCCTGTTCTAATTCCGTATCATGTGAGACATGATCCCAAAGCAGCCTCGATCTCGCGAGACTCCTACTGGCCGCAGCAGCGGTATGACGATGGGTGCCTACCACAGCTACAGCCATTATAGGAGATTTACTGATTAGAATAGGGTTTGGGGCGGTAGATTATGGTATTCTTGGAATCAGGAACCCACAAAGGAATCAATGCTAGTAATTACTCAGGCTTCAACACACGCCAATGTGTGGATAACATCTGACTATAGTTGCCTTTTCTTGAGAAACCTGCCTATTCAGCGCCATGACCCAATGAGTAGGGGCATGGTTCAGGAAAGCGCTCGCGTATTGGATTCATTTTGATTCGGGGCTTCCGGAGTGAGCTTCTTTTGTTGTTAAGGGTTGCGGGGAATTCCTTGACTCGAACATTGGTATTGTGGTAAGCACTGTAGTTTAGGAGTTTAGGGTGTTCGAGCTCTGGGGCATGGTAGCTTCGGTGCTTTGGGCTTCGATGAGCGGCGTTGGCATGGCAAATGGTTTGGTGGTCGCGGTGATGTGATCTAGACGTACACCTCATGAAGCCCTTCCTGGCCAGAATGGCTTCAGATGAAGGGGCCACAATCATCGTTTAGGGTTTAGGGTTTAGGGTTTAGGGTCATCATCACCGCCGTCGTTGTGTTGACTTTGAAGTTGACCTGCGCGACCACAACCTCCACCACACCCACAACCAATCCACCTGCCTGCCATAATTTAGCGTTGAACCAATTCCGCACTACCGCCATCGTCATAACTCTTGGCCTGGACCTAGCTAGATGCACTCAGGCCCCTTTTGGCATGTGAGAAGCAATGGTAACTGCATGGCTCCTTTAGCGCACTGCGCCATGCAACATACGAATCTGGACAGATGGACGTCAGAAAGTGGAACTGACCCCAAACCCTACACTTGGAAGACCAAAGCTAGGAACAGAGCATCGAAACCCAGACCCTCAGCAGTACAGCCTGAAAGGCTTTGTTTGACCCTGTGAACTTCGCTACCGTAGAGCAAGACCCCGCCGTGAGGCCATGCCACCGTACAGGTCGCAGCTCCTCACCAGTACAAGCGAAAGTCACCACTTTCCTGATGCTTATGATGGTGATCATGGTGATGACACTGATGATCATGATGACGGCGATCGTAACGGTCATAGTCATGGTGATGGTACTCGCCAAATATCCTCCTTGCGAATACTTCCCGACTGTTCTCGTAAGTCTCATAGATCGATTCGCTGAATATTGCGGAACCCCGGTGTCGTGATCAGGTTCGGCTGGAAGCCGCAGCTCATGCAGCAACAGATGATGGGCAGCTCCTATGGCGCATACGCAGTACCAGGCCAGGCTACAGCCTTCGATTCCACATCAGATAGAGGGGTCGGAATAAAGTTGCAATAGCCTCCCGTAGTATCAGTATAGCAGAATCGGCTCCCTTAGGCCCTATTCTAGTCATGGAGGCCCCGAAATTGAGCCCTGAACCCGGAAGCCGGGAAGTGTGGTCAGTCTCAGCTCCCCCCACTGCAGCCTCATCATGATCCTGTAGGCGGACCTTCTTGAGACCCTCACTCCGAAAACGCAGGCAAAAATTACTGGCGGAGTGGTGGAAAGTGCACACAGTGTTTGTAAGAGGTAGTCAACATATGATGAACATCACAGTCGCCGTAGTGGCCGTACTTTAGTGGTGCTCATCTATTCTGGTACTCTAACTGCTGCACTGCTGCGACGGCATGCTACACATACTACGACAACTCCTGTGAAAGTCTGAATGCGAGCAGCAGTTTTACACGATGAGCACATCTCAGCGTACCCGACCTCTAATGGCAAGATGCTGGAAGGCGGCGTGATCTGAAACGAACCTTCTCTCCGCCACTCACGTCCTCTGCAAAGTGTCGAAGCACGCTGGGCGATGTC